TCAAGAAACCACTTTCTTTGTTCATCCAGAAGAAGCAACTCCTCATTTGTTCAAGTTTTATCATGAGATTGCAATAATTCAGTCCCATCTTCAGGCTCCACTTCTAATTCTGGTTCTTTTCTACTTCCACCTCATCTGCAGTGACTTCCTCCACTAAAGTTTTGAACCCTTTAAAGTCATCTATGAGGGCTGGAATAAACTTTTTCCAAACTCCTGTTAATGTTGATGTATGACATTTTCCTATGAATTATGAATGTTCTTACTGGCAACTAGAATCGTTTTTATTTTGCCCAGATCATCAGAGGAATCACTATCTATGGCAGCTATAGCCTTTAACGTGTATTTTTTTAGATAATTAGGCTTGAAATATGAAGTGACTCCTTGGTCCATGGGCTGCAGCTGGCTATTGTGTTAGCAGGCATGAAAACAGTAATCTCATTGCACATCTCCATCAGGGCTCTTGGGTGACCAGCTACATTGTCAATGAGCAGTAATATTTTGAAAGAGATCTTTTTTTCTGAGCAAATCTGAACAGTGGGCTTAAAATATTCAGTAAACCATGTTGGTTTTGTTTTTTAACCTGAACCATATTCAGCCTGCTTTTTGGTTCTATTTATAGAACACAGAGTAGATTTATCATAATACTTAAGGGCCCTAAGATTTTCAGAATGGTAAATGAGCATTGGCTTCAACTTAAGGTCACCAGCTGCATTGGCCTTTAACAAAAGAGCCAGTCCTTTGAAGTTTTGAAGCCAGGCATTAACTTCTTCTCTCTAGCTATGAAAGCCCTAGATGGCATCTTTTTCCAATAGAAGGCTGTTTCAACTACATTGAAAATCTATTGTTTAGTGCAGCCACCTTCATTAATTATCTCAGGTAGATCTCCTGGATAACTTGCTGCAGCTTCTTCATCTGTACTTGGTGCTTCACCTTGCACTTGGATGTTACGGAGATGGTGTCTTCCTTAAACCTCATGAACCAACTTCTGCTAGCTTCATAGTTTTCTTCTGTAGCTTCCTCACCTCTCTTAGACTTCATGGAATTGAAGAGAGCTGGGACCTTGTTCTGGGTGAGGCTTTGGCTTAATTCTGTGGCTGGTCGATCTTCTCTCCAGACCACTAAAACTTTCTTCACTTCAGCCAAAAAGCTGTTTTGCTTTTTTATCATTTGTGTGTTCAATGGAGTAGCACCTTTAATTTCCTTGAAGAACTTTTCCTTTGCATTCACAGCTTGGCTAACTATTGGGTGTAAGGGGTCTAGCTTTCAGCCCTGTTTCAGATTTTGCCATGCCTTCCTCACTAAGCTTAATTATTTCTAGCTTTTGAATTTAAGTGAGAGATAGGCGACTCTTCCTTTCTCTGGAACACTTAGAAGCCATTGTAGGGTTATAAACTGGCCTAATGTCACTATTGTTGTGTGTCAGGGCACAGGGAGGCCCAAGGGTGAAGGAAAGAGATTGGGGAAATGTCCAGTTGGTGGAGCAGTCAGAAAACACACATTTAAGTTACCTTCTTATGTGGGTGTGGTTAGTGACACCCTAGAACAAGTATGAGAGTAACATCAAAGATCCTAGGTCACCATGACATTTAATAAGGAAAAAATTTGAATGTTTCAAGAGTTACCAAAATGTGACACAAAGTGAGTGTTGGAAAAATGGCACCAATAGACTTGTTCAGCAAATTGCCACAAATCTTCAGTTGGTAGAAAATGCAGTATTTGTGAAGCACAGCAAAATGAGGTATGCCTGTATATGTCATGCAAGTCTCTATGGGCCTGGAAGATTTCTGCTGAAAAATCTGCTGATAGTCTCGTGTGTGGCGGGTCCCCTTGTACATAACAAGTTTTTTTTTTCCCTCTTTTTAAGATTCTCTCCTTATCTTTAAATTTGACAATTTAATCATAGTGTATCTCAGTGCTAATCTCTTTGGGTTCATCTTAATATTCTGGGCATCCTGGATCTGCATGCCTGTTTTCCTTTCCCAGGTTAGGGAAGTTTTCAGCCATTATTATTTAAATACATTTTCTGCCTCTTTCTCTATTTCTCTTAGGGGACAACATCAAGCAGACCAACATTCACATTACGGGGTCCCCAATCTTTTTTCTTTTTGCTGCTCTGATTGGATAATTTCCACTGCCCTTTGAATTCATGGATCCTTTTTTCTGTGTCTTCAAGTGTGCTGTGCAACTCCTCTGTAGTATTTTTCTGTTCAGTTATTGTATTCTTCAGCTCTGTCACTTCTATTAGGTACTTTGTTCTATTCTTGTTGAAATTTTCACTTGATTCATGTGTTATTCTCTTGAATTCAGTGGACATCTTTATCACTGTTATTTTGAACTCATTGTCAGGCAAATCACTTATCTCCATTTCATTAAGGTTTTTTTCTGGGGTTTTATCCTGTTCTTTTGTCTGGAACATATTCCTCTGTTTCTTCCTTTTGATCTATTCTCTGTATTGGTTTCTATGCATTAGATAAAAGAGCCAAGTCTCCCATTCGCCTCTGGCTTATTAGCTCTTGGCTGTCTCTCAACCTCTGTGACTGTCCAAGCAGCCTGCTTTATTCTTAGTGGCTCCCAGAAGTGGAGGTTGTGCCAAGACCTTTCAGTGTCTCAAAGGGGAGGATCTCAGTCAGCATCTGGATTCAGGCTGATTGGAAAGCAGAACTTGAGGTAGTAACTTTTAAAGTTTGCAGATTTCTCTTTCAGGGGAAGATAGGAAGATGGGCATTTCTGTATACTCCCTGTGTGCTGAGGTCTGTGGTGCTAGACAGTTAATAAGTGTTTCTTTGGTTGCTACTGTCCTAATGAACTCATAAACATGTGCCATGTTCTCAAGGGATGGGTCCTCTGAGCATCAGACACAAAAGCCAGGGTGCCAGATGTGTAGACAAGCTCCTTTCTTGAGGTTAACCTGGAACAGAGGGGGAGCATGAAGAGGACTCCCACAGGCCTCCACAGTCTTTGGAGAGTCTTATCAGTTTGTTAAATTAGAAACCTGCTTATCAGGCCAAAACTCTAAGATAAGCAAATAGACTTCTTTCACAGAAAGATGGGGTGCTTTTCAGTCTGCTGCTTCTACACTGGGTCCTGAGGGATGGTTGCCATGAGGTTTTTAGTTTTGCATAGCCTGTGAGTCTCATGGACATAAGTCTGGTGGCTTTTGAAGCTACCTGTTGCACAGGGGCTCCTGTCTCAGATACACATCTTAACAGTTGGGGTTCAAATCCTTTGCTCCTCAAGGAGAAGCTCAGAATTGTGAGTTCCCTCCCAATTCTGAGTTGTGGCACTGGGGTTGGGGTTGATGGTATGTGTCTTGGCCTCTTCTACATATTGCAATGTGGGTTTTTTGCTTGTTTGTATAATATATAGGAGTCACTCAATTAATTTATTTTTCAGAGGAAATTGTTCTTTAGGTAGCTGTATATTTGGTGTGTCCATGGAAGGAGAGGTGTTCAGGATCCTCTTATGTCACCATCTTGAACTGGAATCTCTTGTCTTTTTGATAAAAGCCATTCTAATAGGTAGGAGGTGATGATATTGTGGTATGGATTTTCATTTCTCCAATGAGCAGTGATGTCTAGCACCATTGCATATACCTGTTGGCTGTATTTATATCTTCTTTGGAGAAATCTGTTGAGGTCCTCTGACTGAGAGACCCTGGAACTGGTGGTACGCAGATGACTGCAGGGTTCCTAGGTAGGAATGACGTCTCTCTGCCTGTTACCTGATACATGGGTGGCCCAGACTCCTCCTGGATCCCATAGCTCTCTCAAAGGCACTAATATTTAGGGATGGATGCGCAATTTTTACTGTGGGGCTGGGGGACAAAAACGAGGGATGTCTTAGGCTGCCATGATGCTAATGTCACTCTTCAATCTTAGGACAATATTATTTGTTGTATATATATGTTTGTACATGTGGGAGTATTTCAATGAGATCAAGTTCCAAAATGACTAAGTCACAGGGAATATGCAGTTTTCATTTTGGTAGATATAGCCAAATCACTTTTTATAGAGGTTTACACTCTATCCACAGGATAAGAGTGCCTATTTCTCCAACTATTGACTTTATTTTGCCAGTCTGAAAAAGAGCAGTTCATTAATGCCCTAATTGGCATGTATCTTTATATGTCCTTTCCAGTGAACTATCCCTATTCTTTGGGTATTTTTTTTTAATAAAGATTTTTTTAAGTAATCTCTACACCCATGTGGGGTTCGAGCCCACAACGCTGAGATCAAGAGTCACATGTTCTACTGACTGAGCTAGCCAGGTGCCCCACTTTGTATATTTTTTTGTTTTGGGTTTTGGTCTTTTACTTATTGATTTATTGGAGCTCTTTTTTTAATTGATTTGTGTTGTGTTTCTTTTGTGTGTGTGTGTTTTTTTTTTTTTACAGAAAAAATATTCTAAATTTTGTTACACCAAACCACAACCAAAAGAACCAGGGGGGTTTTGGTAAGAAGCAAAAACTGAGGTTTTAAAAGTGCCCCTTCCTTCAAGCCCATCCTGCCATGACCAGAATGATTCCCAGAGTAGGAGTATTTGATGCATAGTGCAGCAAAGCCCTTTAAGTTAAAATACTTTGAATGTCCTCTATGGCAGATCCTCACACTTAGGCTTTCCTGGAAAATGTTTTAAAGCCAGGTTAGAATAGGCAAAATTGCCGAATCAGAGCAAAAAGTGAAAAGTCACCAATCCCCTCAGGGAATCAATAGTATACAAGTTGGTAAGCATTTAAAAAGACAAAATATGCAATAGCTTTTAAAAATTAAGCTATGGAAGATACCCCAGAGAGGGTACTTTATATTTGCTGTTAGGGCAGGGTTCACAGGGTGAAACCAAGAAGGGGCCTTGAGGGTTGTCCTCAGCCTGGGGTTGGAGCCATTGGCTGTCAGAGTCTGTGTTGTTGGGTACGTGACAGCACCCAGGGACACTGCTCTAGGGAGGTTTTATGAAACTCGCCTGCCTCTCCCATGGCATTTCTTCCCCCCCCCCCCCCCCAGCTCATGTGTTCGTCCGTGCAGAAGGCTCTGTTTGAGGAGGAGGACCACGTCAAGAAACTGCAGCAGAAGGTGGCCACTCTGGAGAAGCGGAACAAACAGCTTCGGGATCGGGTGAAGAAGGTCAAGAGGGCACTGAGGCAGACACGGAAGAATGGTCGCCGCCTGGAGCTGGTGAACCAGAAGCTCAGCGAGAAATTAGCAGCTGCAGCAGGTGCCCTCCCACACATTAATGCCCTGGGGCGGGAGCCACCAGGTGCCACGTACCTGCAGGGGTAGCAGGGACTGGGTAGTGGCCTAGCCTGGCTCTGCTGGAACATGTTGCCTCTTGCCAGGGAATGTAAAGTGATGGTAGGTTTCAATGTGCACATAGGTCAAAAAATCTTGTAGATGATGTTTTTAATATGCATTTGGTAGTGCCTAGTTACTTGAAGGGGCAAGTCTTGCTAATTTTCTTAGTTGCTGGGCTCCTTCCCCTCTCTGCCTCGCTCCCAGACCCAGGGCTTGCAAGTCCAGAGGCAGTACGATCCTGGAATATCATGTGCTTGCCTAGGGCCTGTCTCCAGCTTTCAGGAGCACACTGGAAAGTGTACTGACTGTGGAAAGAATATTTTAGAATCTCTAGGTGTACAAGAATCAAGGGTTTCAACCTTATTTAGAAGAGAGGCAGTGGGATCTCTAGGTCTGAGCTCCAGGACCATCATTAGTTTTGAGAAGGGATCTGCAGCAAGTCTTGGAACCTTCTGGTGTCTCCTTTGCCAGTTTTGGAAGGAGGGGGGCAGGCTTGCAAAGCACCCAAGGATGCCTGCAAATATGCATGTGCATGGTGTCCTTACTCCAGCCAGCATTTCCTCACAGCTGAAGCATTGGGGGGGGGGGGGGGGGGGGGGGGGTGCGTGGGAGCAGGTAATTGAACAAGATGAATTATACCCAATTTCCAACACCAGTTACCCAGAGTTAAAGAGGACACCTATGGGTCACTTTAGTCTAAAGGAGAATTGCCTTTGTGGACGGGTCATGTTTTACCAAACCATGTTCCTGAGTTGGGAAGAGCCTGAGCAATATCTCAGCCCCTACTGAATGCAAATTTACTGCTTGCTCATTAACTCCTTCCAGCTGCTCGGAATTTGAGGTGAATTGACCCAGTACACTATTAACTTCTGTTCTGCAAAGATACCCCCTTACCTATTGGAATCAAGTGACCGTGCCTCATTCCCATCCAGGCACCCAAAGAGCCTGTTCCAGGCAGTTCTGCAGAGCCTTGATGCAAGCATTTTTACCACCTAAGTAAATTGGCCGTAAGGCAATTTTGCTGTCAGAGAGAAAATAACTGATTGTCAATAGAGAAATGAAACCAAACTACGTTCTCATTTTTCTATTACATGAATCTTAGCCCTGCTAATGGTCTATGACCAGGATACATGGTGGTCTTGAAACAGTGGATGATAACTCCATATAGCAACTTGATAGAAAATACAGTAACTAACTGGAAGTGTGAAATAAGACTACAAGGCCAGATTGCATACCATACTGTAATACAGAATGGTAGTTTATCATTTATAATAACTCAGAAATGCCTTACAGCTTTTCTTTTGTATGTCCCATAGAACTTTTGAACATCTCTTGATAGACATGCATCATTATGCTAGGAATGAACAGAAATGTAGAAGGTTTTCATAATGTAATACAAAGCTCGGTTACAAATGTGGATCCTAGGATTTGGAGAATGGATACTTCTCTTAAAAAGGACATAATGAAGAAATTAGTAAGGTCCCTCTTTTGTTTTTTGTTATTTTATCTTTTATGGCCAAATTGCCTTCTGGCCAATGAGTTATGCAGTGAAAATGCTTGTGGCAAAGATGCCTATGGTGGAAATACCAGACAGGGTTCCAGGCATTCCAGTCTCTGCTTCTGTATGCACACACTTCCCACACACCAGGGCTGTCCAACCCTGGGAGTAATGTTTGCACATGAGCCCACTTGACAGTGTGTCAAGTTTTGTACATGATCTCAGAGCACTTCACCCTGTTTGGAAAGAAACCTTTGAAGACAGTACTACAAGTAAAAAGAGTATCCACTATATAGAACATCTGAGCCCTTAATTTGGGTACATTTGATCCAGTTGCAGTTTTGTTCTTAAGAAGGCAACTGAGTGAGCGTCTTGTGATTGTCTTCTGATGGACCTCCAAATCTACAAGTCTCTTTTCCGTGTTCCAGATAGAACCTTCAGGTTCCTCGTCAGGAAATCTCCCCCCCCAGACCACTCCAGACACTGCAGCACCTGATTATGTTGTCCTGTCTGTAGGAAATGGCAGTTATACTCTCAGATTTCCCTTCCACTGCCTTTAGGAAAACCACATTCTTCTTGCTCTGGCAGCTGGTTGGGAGGACGGACCTGTGTCACTTGAGGCTACTGCTCAGAGGGAGATGTCTGCACTCTGGACAGGATAGAATGGGAGCTTTACTTTTCCAAGCTGCTTCTGCTCCTTTATTAGCTGTATCCTTCATAGTACGGTACAACAGTTTAGTCTTTCTGGGGCCATGAAAGCACTTTTGCTTCCACCCAAGGGAATGACAAGCCTCAGGGTGATTTACAGCTAGTGTTTTGAGAACTGTGGAACCTGGATCACTACAGCTGCATTATGTTCTGCCTTTTTAATAAATAGCGGTATTTCAGCCACAATGGTAAGGTGATGTGTGTTTCTTTTGGGTCAGGGAGATTCCAGCTTTGGCCTGGAAAAGCACTTTCGATCCTTTTGGGGGAGCATCTGTAAGTAACAGCTGGGGCATGTAGGAGACTGAGCTCAGATCTCTTTTGATGTTCCCCTGGGGATATGACTTGACCCTCTTTCCCAGGGTTCCCACCTTTCAACACACCTGCAGAAAAGCAGTGGTATCTGGGTCTGCTCCTCACAGGGGAAAAGAAGCTTCATTAATCAATGTCTGCAAAAATACATTTGAATCTGTTGCCAAAGGGAATTCCCCAGGTGCCTGTTATCATCTGCTGCACTGTCATCTTACTGGAGCCCTTGCAACCTGTTTATTGTACTCGTAGGAATTTTTTATGCAAGAAGAATCCAAGAAGTCCTTCAAAATTGATATGCTTAACCAACCTGTTGTAGCATTCTCTCTGAGATGCAGACCACTGTTGAGTTCTACTTTGGAAAATCACTTGGCCTCCTCAAACCCCAAAGTCACAAAATAAATGAGAGGCAGACAGAATCTAGAATCTTTCAGCTACAGACCCAGGAGTCATAGCTGTCAGCATGTAAGCCGCAGCTAGTGTGGGGTAGTTCCTTAGGCCTCCACGGTGTGTTTCAATGTGAATGCCCTTGTTGGACTCCAGACCACGGTTCCTACTGATTTTTTCTTTTCTTTTCTTTTTTCTTTTTTTTTTTTTTTGATGCCAGGCTATGTCACACTTTTCCTGGTGCCTGTCTGGTAACAGAAATTAACAGTGATTCTCACATCTGTGGTGCAGGGCCTCATCGCTCTTAGGGGAGGGAGAACCTAAATTGTTGATTCAGAAATAGTCCATATTCTAAAGTGGTTTCAAAAATCAAGCACCCAGTGTGTATTAGGCTCTTTTACCATATTCTCATTTACTGTTTCTAATAATTTTATAAAATAGTGATCCTGTTCCCCATGCTTAAGGAGGAATCTGGAATTTCAAGAGATTAAGTTGCTCAGTGCACACGTAGTGTAAGCGGCCAATCAAGGATTCAACTCCATCTTGATTTCACTCTTTACACTTGCTCCTGTAAAACGAGGATAAGAAACACTTCTACCTCAAAGGCTGTTCAGAAGATTGAATAAAATCGTTCCTTTAAATGCTTAGCTTGGTTCTTGACACCCTGCAAGCACTCAATAGATAAAAGAATAACTGTTGTTTCTTAATATTCACCACAAAGGCCCAATGCCTATCAGAAATGAGAGCTTATTTGGTGGGATTCCACATAGTTTTCCTATTAGCAAGAGGAAGGATAAAAACTATTTGATCATCTCATTACTGAAAAAGTGGCAAAATAAACATCCATTTATGATTAAAAAAAAAAAAAGGTGGGTCTGGAGGGAATGTACCTCAACACAATGAAGGCCATAAATGAAAAACCCAAAGCTAACATCATACTCAATGGTGAAAGATGGAGAGCTTTTCCTCTAAGATCATTAATAAGACAGGGCGGTCCACTCTCACCACTTTCATGCAATATAGTACTGGAAGTCCTAGCTGTGGCCATTAGATAAGAAAATGAAATGAAAGGAATCCAAATCAGATTGGAAGATGCAAAACTGTCAATACTTACAAATGACCTGCTGTTATATACAGAAAACCCTAAAGACACCACCAAAAAATTTTAGAATAGCAGGATACAGAATTTATAAAAATCTGTTTAATTTTTATATAATACAGAACTATGAGAAAAATTAAGAAAATAATGCCTTTTATGTTTGCATGAAAAAGAATACCTAGAAATATATTTAACCAGAGATAAAAGATTTGTACCTGGACACTGTTAAGACAGTGGTGAAAGAAACTGAAGATGAGTGCATTATGCTAAGAAATAAGGCAGACAGAAAAGACAAATAGCATATGATTTCACATATGTAGACTCTAAAAAACAAAAATGAACAAAAGACCAGAAACAGACCCAAAAATACAGAAAACAAATGGTTATTTAAGGGGGAAGAGAATGAAGTTGAGTGAAAGAGGTGAAGTGGCTTAATACATCCAAATGTCCAGTTATAAAATCATGGGGATGTAATATACAGCCTAGGAAATAGTCAACAATATCGTAATACACTTATGGTGACAGATGGTAATTAGACTTATTGCGGGGATTTTGTAGTATATAAAAATATCAACCACTATGACACATATGACAATAACTCTGTTGTATGTCCATATACTTCAATTTTTTTAAAGGCATCTAAATTGGAAAGGAAAAAGTAAAACTGTCACTACTTGCAGATGACATGACACTAAATATAGAAGACCTTAAATCCACCAAAAAACTATCACAACTAAAGTGAATTAAAGATGCCAGATATAAAATCAATATAGTAAATTCTGTGGCATTTATACACACTAATAACTATCAGAGAAATTAAAACAATTCCACTTACAACTGCATGAAAAATAATACTTAGAAATAAATCTAACCAAGAGAGGGAAGACCCATAATCTGAAAAGTATAAAACCTACTGAAGGAACGATTCATGCATCGTTGGTGGGAATATAAATTGGGACAGCTGCTATGGAAAACAGTATAGAAGTTCCTCAAAAAAATTAAAAATAGAAATACTGTACAATCCACCAATTCCACTTCTGGATATTTATCTGAAGAAAACACTAATTCAAAAAATTATATGCACCCTTATGTTCATTGCAGCATTACTTATAATAGCTAATATATGGAAGCAAACTAAATGTTCATCAACAGATGAATGGATAAAGAAGATGTGTGGGTGTGTGCCTGCACACGCATGCGTGCGCGCGCACACACACACACAGGAATGTTAAATAATATTAAAGAATGAAATCTTCCCATTTGCAAAATACATGGATGGGCCTAGAGGGTATTGTGCTAAGGGAAATGTCAGAGAAATTCAAATATTGTATGATTTCCCTTAGATGTGGAATCTACAAAACCAAACACATGAACAAACAAAGCAAAACAAAGAGACTCATACAGAGAACAAACTGATGAATGCCAAAAGGGAGAGGTATGAAAGGATGGATTAAATAGGTGAAGGGGATTAACAAGTATAATACTCCAATTCTAAAATACATAAAACAGTGATATGGTGACAGATGGTAAAGATGTATTGTGCATTACTAAAGTATATAAATAT